ATATCCAATAATTCTCAAACAAATTGTTTTTGCAATTATTCCAGAATTCTTCATGATTAAAAAATAATTTTTTTTGAAATATTGGATAATTCTCAAAATTTATTAATTTATCTTCCAGAATGTTCAAAATTTAGGTAGTTATTTTAATTTTTTAATGCATTTTAAATATTTTGGTCGTCTAATAATAAAGCAGAGACATATTATTGAAATATATAAAAAAAATATATTTTAATTAAATTAGTCTGTCAAAATTCTCTGCAGGAACTAAATTCAGAATTAAAAAAATAATTTAAAAATTTTAAGATGAAGTTTTGATTTGTAATTCTATTAATAAAATCTTTAAAACTCATTAACTCAAGTAAAAATATAGAATGAGATAGAACAACATCTTTGTCTTGGTAATATTAGGCGGAATTCTCTATTGGGGTAATTTGAAAAATATTATTCAGCAAATTGTTGTCCAAATGAATGTTAATAATGTGTGGCTTATTCCTCAAATTGCGATATTTGTAAACAAGGTTTCTAAAAGAGTGAAAATGATTGTTTAAAATGTGCTAGGCCATATTAAACCTGTTCAACAGTTGCTATAAATTGTGAAGCGTGTGTTGATACTACAAATTAAGTAATTCTAACCTGTGCATGCAATATTGGTTACGTAAAAAATCCATCAACTTATTTATGTGAAATATGTCCAAGTAATTGTAAAGCATGTTCTTCTACAACAATATGTACTTAGTGTAATGATACTTATTGGTTAAATGAAAATTTGTGTAATCCATGCATAAAACCATGTGCAAATTGTTCATCGAATGATAGTTGTAGTACTTGTGTTGATACTACAAATCAAACACCATCTTCATGCAGTTGTCCAGATAATTATATAATGAATATTTCAAATTACTTCTGTAATTAATGTTAATTTCCATGTGCTACTTGCTAAACATCAATTAATATTTGTTTAACATGTGCTTCAACATACACTATAGATTCAAGTACTCATACATGTTCATGTTAAAATAATCAATTTGAGGTAAATAGTACACCTAAAAGATGTCAAAATTGTTCAAGTCTATGTTAGACTTGTACAGTATCTGCAAATAATTGTAGTTCTTGTGTGGAGAATTAAAAAGAAATCTAGATAATAGCTAATATATCTGTGATAATGGGTATTATGAAAACACTACTTGTTAACCATGTTAATTACCATGCATTAACTGTACTTCATTATCAGTTAGTATTTCATGTAATGATTCGACTTATCAATCTGGAACAACTTGTCAATGTCAACCAACTTATTTTATGAATGCATCTTTTATGTGTTAAAGTTGTGTATCCCCTTGTTAAAATTGTACTTCTGAATCCTTATGTACATCATGTGTTTAAAATTATTACATTTCAGGAAATACTTGTATTTAATGTACTTCAAAAATGTACATCTTGTATTAATACAAATTTAACACCAATCAATAAATTATGTGTTTGTCCAGACGGATATTATGCTGATACATCATTAAATTGTCAACCTTGTATTCATCCTTACACAAAGTGTTAAACAAATGGTAATCATTGTTTAGAATGTGAAACTACTTTTGAAATCAGTACTGCTACTCCAAATACTTGTGTTTGTCCTATTGATAAATATTTAGAATAATTAATAGTATCATAATCTACTTTAGTAACTACTACACCTACTGATGGTCAACCTTGTACATAACCATGTAATACATATTTAGGAACAGCAGTTCATTGTTTAACTTGTATAGATCCTAATTAAACTATTAATGGATCTAATTAATGTTAATGTAATATTGTTTTTTTTAAAACTCCTTGCATTGAATGTTTAGGAAGTGCTAATTACTGCACAAAATGCAAAGATAAATACCATTATATAAATAATGGACGGTGCATTTGTAATTCTGGTTATGTAAACGATAATAACTATAATTTTATTCCTTGTTAAGGTCCTTGTTTAACTTGTTCTGTAAATGATACTCATTGTGATAGTTGCGCAGATCCTAATCATTAAATTAATGCATCTTATTAATGCTTTTGTAAAGACACCTACTATTCAGATACTCCAAATACATGTACCTTATGTTAGTTACCATGTGCTTTATGTGATATTAATGGATGTTTAACATGTTTTGATCCTAATTAAATCATAAATTCTTCTAAGAGTTGTATTTGTAGATCAGGATATTATGAAATAGATTCAAAGTGTTTAAAATGTGAAGGTCCATGTTAAACTTGTGAAATCAATTAAAATTATTGTTTAAAATTTATTGATATTCATTAAACTCAAATTAATAATTAATGTATATGCAATGATGGATATTTTGAAGTCAATTATATTTGCTAATAATGCTAATCTCCTTGTTAAAGATGTCAAAATACAAACGATTATTGTCTATCATGTTTAGATTCAAGTCATGATTTAATCAATAATAAATGTGTATGCAAATTTAGATATGGATTTTTAGGAATTAATACATTAGATTGTTCACTTTGTTAATATCTGTCTTGATTGTTCAAGTACTGTAAACACTTGTCTATCTTGGGTCGATAATAATATATTCTAACTTTAATAAGACAAATGTGTTTGTAAATAAGGCTATTTTGAGTAGGGAACTGATTGTCTTTAGTGTTCATCATAATGTTTTACTTGTTTCGAATAATCTGATAAATGTTTATCATGCTCTGATCCTAATCATATTTTATTGTAAAATGATTGTTAATGTAAGCCAGGTTATTATACTGATTATTCTAAATAATGCTTATAATGTTAAATTCCTTGTCTAACTTGTAATATTAATTAAGATTTTTGCACATCTTGCTAAGACAGCTACTAACTTGTTGAAGGATAATGTATATGTGAAGAGGGATATTATATTCTCAATTTTCATTGTGAATTATGTAATTAGAATTGCAGTAAATGTAATTCATATTATGTATGTACTGATTGTATAGATCAATATTACTTATATGATACTTAATGTTTAAAATGTCAAATCCCATGTTTATCATGTTTTGATGCTTATACTTGTAAAACATGTTCTGATAATTACATAATGGATAATTAAGGAAAATGCATTAAATGTATCTAAAATTGTGAAATTTGCATTGATTCATTTTCTTGCATCAAGTGTTTTGATGAATTCTATTATAAAAATTAAGAATGTATCCCTTGTTCCGATTAATGCTTGACATGTCTAAACACAAATTAATTTTGCACTTCATGTAAAGATTCTAAAAACATTATAAATAAAAAAACAGGAACTTGTTAATAAATGAACAACTTTTGGAGTGAATTTGATTATGATACTTTAGAGGAAATACTATTACTCTAAGATATTAGATGCAGTGAAAATTAACTATTGATTGGTTATTAATGTATTAATTAATGTGGCAATGGAATTCTTAATGAATAATATGAATAATGTGATGATGGAAATCATATTGGAGGAGATGGATGTTCATTTCTTTGTATTCAAGAAGATTCCTATTAGTGCATAAATTATGTAAGCTCTCCTAGTCATTGTTCATTTATTAAAGCTCCAGATTTCAGATTAAATGTTCTCACTAGTTAATAAAATCAAACTTAAATTATTGAATTAACTTTTACCTAAAAAGTTAAAATACTAACTAATTTAAGTTTTGAAGATTGGGCAATTATATCTATTATCCCATAATCTAGAAGTAATATCAATATAGTGAATATAACAGGTCTATCAACTGAATTTGAAAATTTAAAAATATTAGATTATTGTTGAATTTATAGAACCCGTAAAAGATGTTTTTCTATAAATAGAATTTGCTTAATCAATCATAAAGAATCAATACGATTTAGATTTACTGAGATATTCGATGCAATTAAATCTTGGAAACCCTTTTATACTTTCACAATAAAATTAATAAAAATTAACATAAATTGTCCTTTTAAACGATGCAATAATATATTCATTGACTAGCATATCTGGATTAGCATTCCTTACAGGAAATGCAATAATGTTTTTTAATTTAATTGATCTTTTATAATCTTTATCCTATATTAGATATATGTAATATAATTTTCCACCTCATTTAATTTAATTTTTGAATACATACTCTAAAGTATCATTAAAACCTATTTTGGATTAATTGAAAATTGATGAATTCTTAAAATATTTAAATGGAGGGTATGTACGAAAAATGAACTTTAATTGCTCTGCAAAAGCTTAATAGATGAATAATTTGCAAAAGATTAAAATCTATGGGATTACTATACTAACTTTCATGAAAAAGATGATATTAAATAAAATAACATTATTAAAGTGGATCGAGTATAAGAACTATTAAAAAAATAAATTGAAATAATAAAAGTTCTTGATGATTAAATTTAGTTAACAAAAATTGAAATTAAAGAAACTTTGATAAATTAAACTGAAAAAAATGAATTATCAAAACAATTATTTGACGATCATAAAAATAGATTATCTTCTATATATTTTGAATTATGAAAGAAATCAATCTACATAATAAATATGATTTTAGATTTTTTGAATTTTGATTATGAAAAACTTAAGATATTCGAAGATTTAGAACAATTTCGTTAAGATTAAACATTTTAATAAATTTTAAATTGTCAAAATATTCTTTGAAGAGGAATTTTCTAAATTTTAAGAAAGTTTTTTAAATGATTTTTTAGATGAAATATCCTTTATAAGCAATTTGGCATTCTTACAATATGAAGAAATCAACATAAACAATTAATATAACAAAATTTAGATTTAAGAAAGTTTACCATTTAATAATTTTCTATATTTTCTAAATGCTCTTAATGAATTATAAATTGTTATTGATTCTAAAAATGACTATAATGATATAATTACACATTTAAATTAAAACACTATAAATGAATTTTTCAACTAAATTATTTGAGGTAATTGGATTAGATATATAGAGTCAAAAATTATAGATTAATTTTAATAAATATTTCAATTTATGAATGATGATCTCGGCGAAAATTTCTCTAAATCATAAACTAAATAATTGAGTGCCAAATTAGTATATAAACTATAAGCTTTTTAAAATAATTTTATGAAGTTCAAATTGAGAAGATAAAAAGGATAAAAAGAAAGCTTTAAATGTATCTAAATTAAAATTAATAATAAAATCAGATGAAAGAAATAAGTTTTTTAAAGAAATTTAATGATATATTAAAGAGATAAAATGATAATTTGATTTCTTTTAGAGATACTGAGAGTAAAAATTTTAATGTTGATATAATTAAGTAGAATTTTGAATAGATTGATTTAGAGATTGATTCTGATATAAAGACAATTAAAATAGAAATACAGAAAGTATAAGACAAAGAATAAGAAAAATATTATAAGAAGGGAAGCTATTGCTTGATTTTTAAGCATTTAATGGCATTAAAAATGAAGAAATTTACTGCTTTTGAATTCTATGAAAGTTTTATTAGCTTTTACCATGAATAATAAGATTTAAAATAAAGGGATTTAGGAATAGTTTTAAATTATGAAAGTTTATGCTTAAGATCTCTATAAGTTTTCTTAATCTTTAGCCTTGGATCTAACAATCAGAGATTTATCTTAAATTAGCTATAAATAAAAAGGGTAATTGTTATTATAAAGTAATTATAAAGCAATCTAAGAAGTAGACAATTAGTTAGATTAATATTTAAGTGACTCATATTCTGATAAGAAATATAAAAAATTGATAAGAAGTTGTATTCTTTTAACTACCAAAAGAAATACTTATTAATTTACTCATAAATCTATATAAGAATTTTTGGTTGCATAATATGTTTATAATTTTTTGGTTTCTCTTGAAAATTTAAATTAATTATAAAATTAAGAAATCTAAAATTTGGATCACTTAAAAACCTCTTTGTTTAATTCTCTAACTTTTAATTTATCATGTGAAGCATTCAGAGGAGCAAATTATTTCATTAAAGATAAACTACTTAATACAGAAATCAATTAAAAAATGATAAATATTGTAATGTTATCTAGTAATACGTAATTTTGTCGAGCAGCCTCGAATAGTATATATTTACTTAGCTAAATGAATGTATATTTAGGATCTTAAAACTTTAGTTCTATATAATTAGCTGATACAAATATTTCTGGTTTAAGCTTCTTTGAATCTGATTATAGTAATTCTATCTATTAGAATGTTATAATAAATTCGTGCAATTTTAATTAAGCCAATTTGTCTGATATTATGTGGAATGATGTGATATGCAAAGAAAAGCCTTATTAAGAAGGTTAAAAATCTTGTTTTAAGTCTGTTGCAATTTCTCCTGATGGTAATTATATAGCATCAGGAGGGGAAAATGGAATTGTTAAATTATGGAATCTTAAAACTTATTTTTATCTAAGATTTAATGCCTAAACATGAAAGTTGTATCTAAAAGCTTTAGTTTTCTTCTGATTCTTAAATTCTAATTTCTTGTGATTTAGATGGTAAAATTAAATTTTGGGACATGTCAAACATAACTTAAAAACAAACTAAAATTTCTAATTTAGTAGAAAAAATATAAAAATTTTAATTGTCTGAAGATTGTAAGCAATTATTCATTCTAATTGAATAAAAATTCATTGTCTAAGACTTTGATTAATTATTTCAAGAAATATAAAATTAAAATGAATCAGAAATTAATTAATTTTTGATTTCTCTTGTTAATAAAAATCTACATAATTTAATTAATGAATTTTCATATGTTTAGTATTCACTTTCTGTAATGATAGAATTGACAGCCTAAATATTCAAGAAAGATTGATGTATAAAGTTGATGTGTATATCATAGTTATTTTTTTAAGTAAATAAAATTAATTACAAATGTTTATTCTGACCAGAGATAAGGTTAACCTCAAGTATTTTTGATACAATAAATATCTACTGTAATGAGTGAACAAATTATATTTATATTACATTCATCTTCATTTTTTTAAATATTAGCAACTAAAATACACAAGCTCCCACTTATTTTGTTATAAATCCTTTTTTATAAATACAAACTTAATTTGTTGTCAATGCATTTTTATTATCTACACATACAGTTTCAGTCCAAAAGTGATCCTCATTTATGTTATTTTTAAATATTAGCTGCTTATATTAATGTGGCTGCAAAAATAGTTCAAGTAATATATCCACCATTCTAATTATTGTTACATGATCCATCTACCTTAAAAAATTTTAAATTATCATCAATATTTAAAATATTAGGTTCATGATCACATCTTATATCCTTGCATTTTGCATTATCTTAAACCCCAGAAACATGCAATTTACTAGTATTTATCATAAACACATGGAATTTCTTAAATTTAATCACTGTAATTATTCCCAGATAAATTTAAACGAACAAATTGTAGATCTTCATATATTTACATAGCATTAATCTAATTTACCTATACTTTTTCCATCCTTTTAGATGAGCAATTATTTATAGTTTTGCCTTTCTTCAAGTTAGCCTTCAATTTTCTTTGAGTAATATAAATTAATCAATTGAAGGAAATAAAACTTATAATCGCAATATAAGCTTTGCAAATATTTTCCCCTTTATTTTATTAGAAAATCTTATTAATTCATCAATACAGAGTCCTACGTAAGATTTATAAAATCAACAATTAATGAAAAGCTCTTAGTTAATTCTTAATGATTCTTATGATTTAAAACAAAATAAATCAATACTATGTTAAGTAAGTAATGTGATATATTTTAAGCTATTAAAAATCCCCCTAAATGAAATTGAATAGTTTATTTTGAATCAGCTTCTTAAAGTTGTAAGAAATTTTTTTAAATATTCAATAATTATTAACTACTTTCTCTCTTTTATAAATTTTATTCTTTTCTTGAGTACACTTCGAAAATTGAGTAAATTATAGTATATTTGATATTGATGGAAGGTAATATTTCTAAAGTTTTAAGTCATTCAATTTGACTATGTAGATTTTAATTTGAAATCATATATATTTACTATGAGTTTTATACATTATATTATAATTTATTTTTCTAAGTAACACATGTTTTATTTGGAATCAATTTAACAAAAAACATAATTAGACGTTCCTTTTATAATATCTAGAGCATCTTTGTCTGCATGATTTAGTTATTGTTTTTGATTTTAATTGTGAAATGAAAAACATACAGATTCCATCTTTTACAAAAGAGCAAATGCTTCATTTAAAGAACTAGTACATGTGACTTAAACAACAAATTTAATTCTCTCAGTTGTGCTGAGTCTACTTTTAATAATTTAAGCGGCACATTCAGAATCAGCAGTAGAAGATTTATTTGTAGATTCTCTCTCAATCTACTGACTGTTCTCTGTCATTAAAAAGTCCATCCTTATACTAGAATCTCTTTGTGAATGAACTGAAATATTAAATTATAAGGTAAGAAACTATTAAATTAATTAACCATTGTACTAATTAGTGAAATATTATATAGAAAATTATAGAGGAAAGCTTATTAGGACTCAAAATATAAATGATATTTTCTAAAACTTTCTATACAAGTCTATAAATTGAATTTATTGTTTCAGATTTTATTTTATTCTTATAACACAATCAAATTTTTAATGTTTTCTTTGGTTATAATATAAATCAAGAGTAATGATAAAGTCTAAGTGAACAAATGTTAGGTTTAATGTCTAAAGGAATAAAATGAAGTTATTTAGAGACAGAGGATTTATGACTTAGAGATTTTAATTTAAAATTTAATTCTTAATGGAATCCAATAAAGAATTTTTAATAAATTTGCATCATTTGAATTCTAAATCTTTGATTAAGAAACAACAAATCATTTGTTTTGACTATTCTTTATTTTCATAAAATACCAAAACAAAAAGTCTTGATATATGGGAATACGTGATGCTAATAAAAATAATAAAAATATATTTTAAAATTAAACACATCTCTAATTGAATCATTAAGTATTCACAACTTAGATAAATTTAATCCTTTCTTAACATCCCATCAATGAATAAATAGAATAGAATTTATCATAATTATTAGATGCTTATTTAGTACTATTAAACTGAATTAACTTCAAGTAATGAACATTTACAATTCAATTATTATTATCCTTCCTTACAAGATGTTACTATTTTAATATAATGGGTCAACAAAAATCTAAATTAGAGGGATTTAGTAGATATACATATTCATTTTGCTTCTCTTGTTAACATCCAATTAAAGTGGAGAGTTATCTCTACTATCAGATGCTAATAAATTACCATTAGGAGAGAAGCATACAAAAAAGTTAGTTCCACTATCACCATCTAATTTAGCTTTTTGCTATCCTATTTCTTAAAATTTTTAAATTTTAAATTCATGAATTCTTCTAAATATCAAATTCGATATTTAGGTTGCATCCAACAGAATTCTTTCTATTAAAAAAATAATTTAGGGCTTTTGAAATTTTCGAATGATTGTTAGATCAACCATTTAGATGAATCAAAAATGTAGAATTTGATCTGATCAACTAATTTCTAATCAAAGACCACATCTTAATTCTAATGTTTAAAATTTTCTTTCTTTATTAAAAATCCTCAAAGCAAGAATTCTCTTAGTTATTGATTTATCAACATCTTTTATATGAACTAAGATTTTAAAAAAAATCTACCTTGCTTTCATAAAGTCTCTATAAAATTAAAAAATATTTTTTACCTAACTCATCATTAGGAGTCATTTGTACTTAAATCTCCAATTTAAGTGTTGATTTAAAGCATACCATTAGTCTCTAACTTGCATTTTTTGTTTAACTTCTTGAGCTCCTTCTCTATGGAATAAATCTTAAGATTAATCATAGAAATTCAAATACTCAAGGTTTAAATTTTTCTACCAAAATTCTTTCTACTTTGTGGAAGAACTTTTGAGACTTTGCTTTAATTATTCTGATTGCTTGAACAATCCAGAAGACTTTATTGAAATACTATNTACAAGTCTATAAATTGAATTTATTGTTTCAGATTTTATTTTATTCTTATAACACAATCAAATTTTTAATGTTTTCTTTGGTTATAATATAAATCAAGAGTAATGATAAAGTCTAAGTGAACAAATGTTAGGTTTAATGTCTAAAGGAATAAAATGAAGTTATTTAGAGACAGAGGATTTATGACTTAGAGATTTTAATTTAAAATTTAATTCTTAATGGAATCCAATAAAGAATTTTTAATAAATTTGCATCATTTGAATTCTAAATCTTTGATTAAGAAACAACAAATCATTTGTTTTGACTATTCTTTATTTTCATAAAATACCAAAACAAAAAGTCTTGATATATGGGAATACGTGATGCTAATAAAAATAATAAAAATATATTTTAAAATTAAACACATCTCTAATTGAATCATTAAGTATTCACAACTTAGATAAATTTAATCCTTTCTTAACATCCCATCAATGAATAAATAGAATAGAATTTATCATAATTATTAGATGCTTATTTAGTACTATTAAACTGAATTAACTTCAAGTAATGAACATTTACAATTCAATTATTATTATCCTTCCTTACAAGATGTTACTATTTTAATATAATGGGTCAACAAAAATCTAAATTAGAGGGATTTAGTAGATATACATATTCATTTTGCTTCTCTTGTTAACATCCAATTAAAGTGGAGAGTTATCTCTACTATCAGATGCTAATAAATTACCATTAGGAGAGAAGCATACAAAAAAGTTAGTTCCACTATCACCATCTAATTTAGCTTTTTGCTATCCTATTTCTTAAAATTTTTAAATTTTAAATTCATGAATTCTTCTAAATATCAAATTCGATATTTAGGTTGCATCCAACAGAATTCTTTCTATTAAAAAAATAATTTAGGGCTTTTGAAATTTTCGAATGATTGTTAGATCAACCATTTAGATGAATCAAAAATGTAGAATTTGATCTGATCAACTAATTTCTAATCAAAGACCACATCTTAATTCTAATGTTTAAAATTTTCTTTCTTTATTAAAAATCCTCAAAGCAAGAATTCTCTTAGTTATTGATTTATCAACATCTTTTATATGAACTAAGATTTTAAAAAAAATCTACCTTGCTTTCATAAAGTCTCTATAAAATTAAAAAATATTTTTTACCTAACTCATCATTAGGAGTCATTTGTACTTAAATCTCCAATTTAAGTGTTGATTTAAAGCATACCATTAGTCTCTAACTTGCATTTTTTGTTTAACTTCTTGAGCTCCTTCTCTATGGAATAAATCTTAAGATTAATCATAGAAATTCAAATACTCAAGGTTTAAATTTTTCTACCAAAATTCTTTCTACTTTGTGGAAGAACTTTTGAGACTTTGCTTTAATTATTCTGATTGCTTGAACAATCCAGAAGACTTTATTGAAATACTATTTAAAATATGATATTTTAATTTCAAAATCTAATTGCTTTTATATATTAGAACAAAATTCAAAATCTATTAGTTTTTTATATTATTTTAAAATTCGTTATATTTGATCAAAAAAATATTCTCATCCCAAATACAAAATATCTATATAAAATAGTCTATTACTTTTTATTAAGAACTCATAAAAAATATTCAAATCAAATTAAGGAGTCTATTTAATAAAAATAAAATAAACTCAGGTTTGGAGATTCGGAATATTTTCGTATATAAGTGAAAAATTAAATAGATAATAAAATACTCATTGAGAATACTTTTGTCTAAAAAATTAAAGGAAAAAAAAAGCTTTAGAATATTTAAAATAAAGGATTTCTTGAAGTTTTATTTTAGGTTAGAAGATAGTTTAGGAAAAAAATTTAAAGCTAATATATGTTTTGTTTGTTTTCGCTTCTAGAGTTAAAGTAATTGATTTTGAGTGAGAATTGAAACCTGAATTTCAAGCATTTTTTTGTTCTTGTAGATATTAGATTTGTTTGATAGAAAATTTTTATTTATGAATAAACTTTTTATTTTGTCTCTTCTACGACCCTTCCTATACAATGAGTCAAGATTTTTTTTTTTTTCAATTTAATTTAATTTGAATGACACGAGTATTTGATATGTTGGTTCAGTTTCTAAAAGTATGTAATATACAATTGTAATTTTTTTTTTTCTCTTAAAAGATGAATTGTTCTTAAATTTTTTATTAAAACCAGAAGAATTAAAAAAAACTAATTTGGATCATGGTAAAATTAAAAAAATTTTGATTTATTTTGATATCTGAATTCTTTAGAAATTTTTAGAATATCTAGAGAAAGCGGGATTATTTAATTTGTGTAAAAAAACTGCTTAAATTTTTTAATTTTTAAGATGATGAAAATTTGCCATACAATCCATGAGAGGGAAAAAAAAAGTAGTTAATAAAAATACTTTTTTTTTTTAACTAAACTAACCAATTACATTCGATTTAATTAAAGTAATTAATAAAAATACTTT